AGACTTGCCCAACCATTCATTCTATCGATTTTGTGCCTGCAAGCTTACTGACGCTAACATTGTTCCTCGCGCGCCCTTTCCAAGTGAGCTTTACATTACCGGCAGCAACGTAGCTACTAGCATTGCAGAGGACATGGCGACTCTGAGATTACAAGTTGGCAAAAAATATTTGACAGGGTAACCAGTTATACCGACAGGAGGGCCACGCGAAACGCATTCAAACTTTGTCCTTCAGCTGATCTTTTTGGACAGTATTTCCGAAAAGTCAACGCTAGTTCACCTGGAACACCGATTCTGTGCCTAACTGCTCCCCCGCCCAAAGGAATCATAGAGGGCTGAGAAACTGCTTATTTGCCAACGACTATGCAGGAGCCGTCGAAATCCTGAAGTTGGGTTCAAAACATGGACCATCCGTTCCGTACGATCACGCTTAAATCGTTGAGAATTTCGAGTTCACGAGAAACATCCGTCATGTCTTGTGACTGCTCTACGCCAGGAGTTTCAAAGACAATCCTTGCCTTCATGCATTCGAAATATATGTTCAGAAATATGAAGCTTTAAATGGTGTCCTGTTATTATGTTTCTATGTTTTGCAATGTTTTTCGTTCTGCTATGTGAAGTGGGTGGCGCATTTTCTGGCGTGCGGTCGTGGAGATCCTGCTGCACAGCCTCCTACGCGTACGGATAAAAACCGCACTGGTCAGTAACGGAATGAAAATCCAAGCATGGTTTTTGCTTGTTCTTTGCATGGTCTTTGTATGTACATAGGCTGTGGCCATCTGCTAGAAGCTTTTAGTCGGGGATTGAACAACACTCAGCCTTCGTCGATTAATGTCACCTCTGCTGCTGATCTAGTTTGAACCAGTAACAATCCTCTGAAGTTTTGTTGTCCGTGTGCAGAAACCATTATTGGTAGGTGAATACCGTCTTATTTCTTGAAAAAATCTTCAAATCATTTTTGAATGCACGCAGGGAAGCGTCAGTGTTGATCACGGATGCTGACTATGATGATGATGAGTGTGATGACTGCATTAAAGCGCTAAATCCCTAACAATTGTTGTATAAGTATGATGTGAGGAAACAGTAGAGTGTTTACTGATTCATCAGTAAATTGCGGTAGCTTGCCCGGGCACCCGGATAAAGCAGCTCTAGACAGTATCAATCTTTTGAAGAAAGAAAGAAGACACAATAATTGTTTCGGTAGAACGTAACGATGCTTTGAACCAGTAAACTTAGATGATGTTTAAGGAACGTTTCGGAATTGATATTTATTGATCAATCGGACTCTTCACCACGAGCACGTGGTATCTAATTGTATAACTACGGATGTTGAGTTAGGCGGTACTTCATTGTGTGGAGTAAGACGCAATCTTATTTAATAATGGTCTGATATGTTTCTGTTTATTGTTTATTTCAGGCGACGGGAGGTCGTCCAGTTGGAATTTTCCAAGGTCAATATGATGTACTGATGCACCGGAATGATAGGGCAACAGTAGCAGGTGTTCAGCGCAACATTTGCTGTTTTGGACTGTCTATGGTGACAGTCACTACATATGCTATAATACGTTCAGGGAACCAAGTGGACACTCTACATTACGATGACAGTCTCCTTGGTTGAGCTGTTTGGAAATCGATTGTGTCAATCACAGTGTGCCGGACTGGCTTAGTAACCAAAAGCAAAATATTTTGATGGAAATATAAGATGCTGCGGCCAACAAGTTCCATCCGAGAAACCTCTCCATATGGTTTGTTTCAAATATCTAGCTTGTGACAAGTGGTAGTTAACTTGAATACGGCAGTGGTCCGCCTCATCACACATTCTCGGGTCCGTAGATCCATACGGAATAATCAGGCCCTCAATCGTGTTTTCACGTCGTTCACACTTCTCGCCTGATTTGGCAGGAATGTCATACACAAAAATGTGGTTCTGGACTTCGTGCGCCTGTTCACAATGCGGTGGACGGCAGGTATTGGCGCAGTTTAGGTGAAAATCACACTACTGTATTGCTCGCGAAATACAGATATCCGGATAAGTAACAGGGTGACACTCAGTTTGTCACGGCACCAAAGTATATTTCACCAGGCGGTGGGAGCGATTCCCGCGTTGAAATCCTTCAGTTTGAAACAAAAAATAATGCCTCTAACCAGCTTGTTTGAAGTTAGATTATTGCGTCTTCCAGGGCTACTAACAAACTATTTCTGGTAAGCAAAGGCTCTCAAAATATTTACTTGCGGTGATTCTGGTAATGCTTGCCAGTGTGAAATTTAGGCAAAGCGCACCAGGTGAATGTTCTCTCAACTGAACTTTTTGGCGGCTGCAAAGCCTTGTGTAGCATTCTTCAACGTTTTTTTGATTTTGTAACATGATACGCATGATGGTGTCCGCAGGAAAAAGTGGAGCTCGTTCATGTGGTCAGAAACTTTCATTTTTCCACAAGAGGGCAGTTCCTTGTTTACGAAGAAGAACCCTGAGAGATTAGAGCCATTTTGATCTGTTAGGACACAGCGCAGACGTCAAAGCGATTTTGAAACTCGGCAAACTTTTAGTGGGGATTCACGCGGTCAGTGGGTTCTTTATATGAGCGGCGATATACACCGTAGATCATTTGCT